GTTTGGGTATCCTTTATTGATTCAATGATCACTTTCAGGATCTGAACTGTTTTATTCATCTCCTTCCACTGTTTGTGTTTTCTTGCATTTCTTTAAGGGATGCATTCATTTCTTCTTTAAGCATCTCTATAATCACAGCTAATTTTTTAGGGTCCTTGCCTTGTGCTTCAGCTATATTGCAGTTCTCAGAGCCTGCTGTGGCTGGGCTGCTGGCCTCCAGTGGAGACGTATCACCTTGTTGTTGAATTTTTACACTGGCATCTGGGCATCTAGTTTGGGAATTATTGTAATTCCAAGTGCTGATATCTGTAGCAGGAACAATAAAAACCCAGAGTCAGATAGAGGGGTAAAGCTGAAGGTCAGAGAAGCAGAGCAGTAAGCCAGTAGAGAGACCTTTTCCCTCTACCAACGCTCCGACTGCCTAGACTGCACTGTGGCTCCATCAAACCTCAGACTCCACACTCCAGAGAGATCCTGTCTCTTCCTTTATATTCCTCTCGCCATCCAGCCATATTGCTCCCGTCTCCACCTCCATAGTGCTGGGATTAAAGGTGTATGATTCCCAAACACTGGGGTGAAAGGCGTGAGCCATCACCACCTAGATCTATTTCTGAGTCGATCTTGTGTAGCCCAGGGTAGCCTTGAACTCACAGAGATCCATCTGCTGCTACCTTCTAAATCCTGGGATTGAAGGTGTGTACCACCACTCCGTGGCCTCTAGTGGCCTAGCTTTGCACTCTGATCTTCAGGCAAGTCTTTTTTGTTTTTTGTTTTGTTTTGTTTTGTTTTAATACAAATAAAATATCACGACAGACATCTGTTCTTGTCTTTGGTTGGCTGGTATTCTATCCTTTGATTTCTGTTGCTCCCTCAGGATCCTTAAAGAGTATCGTGTTGCCTGGAAGGGGGTACTTCGAGGAACCTGCTTGGTGTGGCCACTGAGCGTTCTGAGTACTGTGTATTTTTAGATATTGGGAGCTGATACTTAGAGCTGGGAAAGGGCTAGAAGGGAAGCTGAAGGGAATCACAAGAGGAATAAAAACAGGGTGTTCCAACAGGATCTGCTTAGTCCCTTAGAAATAGGAGCGAGTGAGGGCAGGCTGAACAGGTGGTCGGTCTCCTGCAGAAATGGGATTAGATGAGAGCGGGTAGTGTTTGGAGGAGAGGAAAGAGTGATAAAGATCTTCAGTTAGCCTATCTGCTTGCCTGGCTAGAGTGAGCTCAGGTTCCCAGGAAGTTCCTGCTGGAGCTGGGGCTGGGACAAAGCAGTGAGTGCAGAAGGAAGTTTGGAGGAAGAGCTGCAGTGAGCCCACCTCCTTCCCTGGCCTGCATTCCTTTTGAACTCTTTTATTGTTGTGTGTGTCAATACAAGGAACTTCTCTCCTCCTTTAGAGACTTTGTGCTTCTGCTGGTGTTTAATCCAAATGGCCTTGGACTTTCATGAGTTTGTTTGTTTGTGGAACACATCTTGACTCACCCAGATCGGCCTGTGATGTGAGGATCACAGGCAAGGCCCACTGAACTCCATTCAATCTGAATGTTGGTTCTTCGGCCTGACTGTTGCCCCAGGCAATCTCGTGTTTCAGAGCTTCCATAAAAACAATCCTGTACAGTAAAAGAACTTCTGGAGGCATCACAATCCCTGACTTCAATCTCTACTACAGAGCTACAGTACTGAAAACTGCCTGGTATTGGCATAAGAACAGACAGGAGGATCAATAGAACCGAATAGAAGACCCAGATATCAATCCACACATCTTTGAACACCTGATATTTGATAAAGAAGCCAAAAATATCAAATGGGAAAAAAAAGCATTTATTTAACAACTGGTGCTGGCATAACTGGATATCAACATGTAGAAGAATGAAAATAGACCCATATCTATCACCATGCACAAAACTCAAGTCCAAATGGATCAAAGACCTCAGAAGATCTTCACTAACCCCTCATCAGATAGAGGTCTGATCTCCAAAATATACAAAGAACTCAAGAAATTGGACACCAAAAGATCACATAATCCAATAAAAAAAATGGAGAACAGACCTAAACAGAGAACTCTCAACAGAGGAATCTAAAATGGCTGAAGGACACTTAAGAAAATGTTCAACATCCTTAGTCATCAGAGAAATGCAATCAAAACAACTCTGAGATTCCATCTTACATCTGTAAAAATGGCCAAGATCAAAAACACTGATGACAGCTTAGGCTGGAGAAGTTGTGGGGAAAAAAGAACACTTCTGCATTGGTGGTGGGAATGCAAGCTGGTACAGCCCCTTTGGATGTCACTGTGGTGATTTCTCAGAAAATTAGGAAACAACTTTCCTCAAGACGCAATAATACCACTTTTGGGTATATATTCAAAGGATGCTCAATTGTGCCACAAGGACACGTGCTCAACTATGTTCATAGCAGCTTTGTTTGTCAGCGCCAGAACCTGGAAACAACCTAAATGCCCCTCGACTGAAGAATAGATAAGAAAAATGTGGTACATTTACACAATGGAGTACTACACAGCAGAAAAAATAACGACATCTTGAATTTTGCAGGAAAATGGATAGAGCTAGAAAACATTATTTTGAGTGAGATAACCCAGACACAGAAAAACAATTATCACATGTATTCACTCATAGGTGGAGCAGAGAAAAATGTAGAGCTCAATAAATATCAATAAAAAAGAATAAAAAAATAAAATCATGGCATTTTGACCCTTTAGAGTTTCTCTCAAAAGGCATATTAATGCAGTTTGTTTGGAGACTTTACATGTTGAATAACCAGCAGAGAGAGGGGGGGGAGAGAGAGAAATGAAGCATTAGCTCCATCTATACCCAGCTCGTCTATTTCACTTCTTAGAGGTCACTGAGATTTCCACCCTGCTGAGCAGAGGCCTATGTTTCTCCTTCCTGAACCTGTTTCCATGCACAGCAATGTCCTTGATGAAAGACTAAAATGAAGGGATTTTATACATCTAGAAAAAGGTCAGAAGATGGAAGAGAATGAGATAAACAGAGCTGAGAGTTGAAGACCAACACTTCGGAAAACCCTCTCTCTACCTGAGCACGGGTGAAAATTTCCAACCTAGAAGCCCAGGAGGACATTCCACAAAGTTCTTATTCTTCTTTCAATGCAAATCCTCCCCAAAGTTACAAGTACTAAGCCTAGATCATCCCCCTTTCCAACTAAAGCTTCCTTGAGACCTTAGCGATAGGTTTTGCTTTCACAGTCCTTCCCAGGGAGATTTATCAGCAGATTCTGCCTGTTTGCGTCGTCCTTTCTCTCTGATCTGTAGCCAGTCTAGCTCAGAGCATGATCCTTGTCTGCAGTTCACACAAATGTTCTTAACTCTGCTACCTCCTCCTGCCAGCGGTAGCTGGGGGTATTTCCGAGGACCCAGGTTTGTTCCCTTCAGGTTAGCAGTGGCAGGAATGGCTTAGTGGTAAGAGCTTTTTCTGCTCTACCAGAGGACCTGAGTTTGATCCATATCCACATTATTGGTTCACAACCCCTTGCAACTCCAGTTCCAGGGGACCCGTTATCCACCTCTGATGTCTGCTGGGATGGAGGCAGGGATACTGACGTGAGTGATGGTGAGAGAGGGTGGGGGAGAAGTCTGCATCATCTGCTGGAGATGAGAGAGAGCAGGGGAGGCCACAGCAGGCGCTCTGCGACAGGGGTGAGCCAGGTGAGTCGGAGATTTGATTCGGAGGAGAGTTTTTATTTCAAACGTTAAAAAAAAAAACTATTATAAAGAAAGAAAGGCAGAAAAGTAAAAGAGAAGTGATATGATACAAACTAGCTTTGTGTGTGTGTGTCTGTGTGTGTATGTATGTGAGTGTGTGTTGTGTGTGTATCTGTGCTGCATGTGTGTGTATGTCTATGTGTGTGTATGTGTGTTTTTGTCTTGTGTGTCTGTATGTGTGTCTGTATGTGTCTGTGTATGTCTGTGTGTGTCTGTCTGTGTGTCTGTGTGTCCCTGTGAAAGCTAGATGAGGGTATCTGAGCCTATGCCACAGGAGTTACAGATGGTGGGGAGCATCGCAGTGGGAGAGCTGGAAACTAAATTCTGGTCCTCTGCAGGAACACTCTCAACCCCTGAACCATTTTTTTCCAGGCCTGGCTCAGTTATTTGTATATGACTGGAAATTGAAGGAAATAATTTTAAATACATATTTAAATATATATTAAAGATATATATATATATACATATATATATATATATCTTACATACAGATGGACATAGAATGGAGAAAAGAAAATAGATACAGGAGGCAAGATACAAATAGATTTTTTTATGTAGGACGTTGCCTAAAACAATGAAGGTCCTCTGATAATCCATGGGAACGGGGACAAGAGGCAATGACAACTTCCCACTCAGTGTGAGATGGGAGTTAGCACTGGTTTATTTTCTGTTTAATATAAAAAGTGCGTGACCCCCACATGACTAGGAGCAGGGGAATGGGAGGCTGTCCACGTGCAATGAGAAGCACAGCCCAGGGAGTGTTGTTGCTGGTGTGTGAGCTTTATCGGTAGGAAAAGTCATGAAACTGTTCACAAGGCTGATTATCAACCAGGCAAATCTGTCATCTGGTCAGCGGTGTCCCTGTAAATCCTAGATAGGTGGCCTACACAGTTGTTGGTCAGGCAGCGACTGTGGCAAGGTGTCACAGAACAATGCCAACTGTAATTCTTTAGTAGTTCTGTAAGACAGGCATTTTCTCTTCATTTCATAGGAAAATGGAAACCCCGATCTGGAAAGTTAAGCTCATATTTGGTCGATCTCCTGATGGAATGTGAACAGAACCCAGAACAGAACACGGCTGTGGCCAGCATGCTTGAATCTCACACCTACGCTAGAAGGTAGAAGGTTACAGTTAGGAACTCTGGGTACCCCTTTTGTTTTGAGAAGCCACAGTCCTATTTCAATGATGCAAAGCTGATGCTGGGCTGGTGTGCAGCATCTTCCTTTTGAAATGATCTGTAATAACCATACATATTCATGAGGTATACTGTGACGCTTTAATATATGCATACAATGTGTAGTAATCAAATTAGAGTAATTTGCATGTCCATTATTTCAAACATTTATGTCATATCTCTACACACTCCAGGTACCCGTCTGCTCAACATTCACATCATATCTTCATATCTTGTGATATTTACATCATATTTAGTTCTAAGGACTCTCAGAAATCAGTTGTACTAACAAGAAAATTAAATCAAACTATGCTGACAGGATATAAGCATGGCAATATATCAACTGCTTCATAATAGAGACCAGAAATCTCAATATCGCTAAGGGTATTTTGTTAAGATCTGGCTCAGTATGGGAGCAATTAGCCAACAGAGTGCAAATAAATCCTCTGATTACTCTCAGGGATAGACGGTGACTTGTTGCAAAGGAGCTCACGGAGAAGCTGGTGGCTGCATTTGATCCTGCTGTACTGCCTTCTACATGCGTTCTGCCCTGAACAGTATTTCAGACTTTGCACAGTGGGCTGTGGGTCTCAGGAACAGGAATTCATGCCATGTCAAAGGTGTCCAACGGAGGAAGATGTCCTAAGAGGATACCTTAAAAAGATCAGTTTGTAGGTTTACCATTGTGTGTGCTGTTCTTAATAACTAGTAACTGTGAGCTATTAAAATGAAGTCAGATGACCTCTGAGAGTGGGAATATACACAACTTTGGTTAATTTTCTTTTCCTACAAAGTTAAAAATCCACCTACCCAATTGCCCAGCAATCTCACTCTTTCGTTCATTTATCCTTGAGAAACAAAAACATGTTTACAAAAAGCTGGGCAAAGGGTTCATAGACACTTAATTCTGAATGGCCATCCTAACTGGAAAGCATTCAAATTCCCAAGACCAGCTGCAAGAATAAACAAATTTGAATCACAATCTTACAGTAGGACAATATTAAAACTGAAAGCACACTCATGCTAACCACATGAAAAAAATCTCAAATGCATTGTATTGAATGAATGTACATAAAAATAAACAAAGAAATATGTAATGAAATACATATTTAAACAATTTAAAGTCATAGCATAGGTATCTATTCTGGCAATAGAAATTCAAACAGTGATTCTCTGTGAAAATGAGAAAATAGCTGGGAAGAGATCAGGAAGCTTTCTCAGGCAAAGTAAATGTCAAAATTATACACTGAAAATGTATAATTTATTCTCCAGTGAAACCTGTTTTATTCAGGTAACAGAAGACCAAACTCTGCCTTCCTCCTCCCCCTCTTCTTCTACTTGTTCTCATGTTTCAGACCACCAGTGATGGTGAATCATGCAGTCAGTCTTCACTGGGAGAGCACCACTAGAATGGGGGCCAGGAGCAATGAGTGACCTTCGATGTGTTATACAAACACACGGTCGATCACTGATTCTGATGTGGCTCAACAAGCTTGTAGATAAAAAATAATCAAAGTACTACTAATTAATGAAGTAATTCCCTACCCCGACTCTCATAATAAATTGATACTGAACATAGGTTTGAAAGTTCATCCCTTAGAAATCCAAACCTAAGACACAAACAGTAAAGGAAGAATGCAAGGTTTAACTGGGAGTGCCACCAACCCACAAGGAGACAGACTGAAGTCTCACTTTTCCCATTCAGTATTTAGGGAGGAGGGGGAGTTATGTAAGGACCAGAGAAAGAAATTAGAAAGTGTAAAGTTTGCTGACCCAAGAAGCCTCTCTGCCAATGCAATAATCCAAATCAGACCAAATTAAACCGAATTAGAAAAAGGCCAGGTTTAATGGATGCCAACACTCCTGGGTGGCCCTTCAGGTATCCAGGGAGGAACACAGGGAAACCAAGGTTATGGGGGGAAGGAGAATTAGAGAGACCACATGTTTGTTCTCTGGGGGGGGGGCAGTTTAAATACCTTGTGGGAGTGGTCTTGATCCTCCCTGGGGAGGGGTCACTGGTTGGCAGGCTTTCTCAGAGGTGAAGTTTGGACTGAAGCAACAACCAGGGGAGGGGACTTGAGATGAAACCTTCCATCAAACATTCCAAAATGAATAGCAGCAGCTGGGGTGACACTTCCAACCAAACATACTAGACCCCTTGGATAAAGGGGTGTCAGGAAGCTGAGGTGACGCTTCCAACCAAACAGAAAGGAGTGTTGCCCAGGGCTTAAGAGAGATATCGTGGACAAATGGAGATAATGAAGGGCTCACTCTGGTGACATCCCTTTATTGAGTACATGGGACCTTCTAGTTTCACATTGCATTTGATTATTAGACAGAGTTCCTAAAATCAATTCAGAAAAACAAGCAAGATCATCTTGACTGGCAAAGACCTTTTCTAAGACTGAAAATGAGAAAATAGGAAATAGAATAAAATGGAGCTACTGGCAGCAGCCTCTTATAGAGGAGCCAGGAAGTATGTCTCTTCTGAGTTCAGGAAATAGCCTTGTGGTGGTTTGAAAGAAAATGACCCCTAAAAGAGAAAGGCACTACTAGGAGGTATGGCTGTGTTGGAAGAAGTATGTCACTGTGGGGACAGGCTTGGAGGTCTCTTTTGCTCAAGCTTCCCTCATTGTGATAGTTAGTTGACCTCCTGTTGTCTGCAAGCCAAAATGTATCCACCACATCTGCCTGCATGCCACCATGCTCCCCATCATGATGATAATGGACTAAACCTCTGAAACTATAAGCAATCCACCCCAAGTAAATGTTTTCTTGTCTCTTCACAGCAATGAAAATCCTGGGACAGAAGTAAGTGAGAGGAGTGGAGTATTGTTGTGACAGGCCTGACCATGTGCTTGTTTAGAGGAATTTGGACTTTGGTACTTTGGGTTTGGAAAGCAGTGGAACGCTATAAGCGCTGCTGTTGGAAGTTCTACCCGAATCTGCGCTTCCCTCCTCCCGGTACGGGACACGCGCTTTCCTGTACCTCGCCACGAGCCCAGGGCAAGGTTCTAGGGGTTAAACACAGATGCACGCACACAGAGATAGAGGTCTGGGTCATCTGCCCAAAGGCAAATGTCAACTTTTATTCAGATTTTGCCAGATTAAATACCCCTTCCTCAGAAGCGCAAACCCCCTCCCAGCCAGGTGTGAAGAAGCAGCACTATCAGCTTGGCGCCATTGAGAAATTCCTCCGCAGGCAGGGGAGCACTAGCAAGAGTTTAGTGACAGACAGTTTAGAGAAGAGTTAGGTGCCTGTAGGAATCCTCTTTAGCAAGTGAAATTCCCATACCAAAGACAGAAACAAGGCTCTGTGCTAACCCACTCCGGCTGGCATAATCAAGTAGAGGAAACTAAGCTGGTAGCGGAAACATTTCTAGCATCTTTGTGCTTGGCCTTGAGGAGCAGGGAAGACAGGGCCCTATACACTGCTGTTGAAGGAAATCGGGGCCCTTTGTTTGTCCTGGCCACCTGGCTAGCTTACACGCAAAATAATCACACAGAAATTGTATTAATTAAATCACTGCCTGGCCCATTATCTCTAGCCTCTTATTGGCTAACTCTCACATCTTGATTTAACCCATTTCTAATAATCTGTATATCACCATGAGGTCGTGGCTTACCAGGAAAGATTCAGTATGTCTAACCAGGCAACTCCGTGGCAGCTCTCTGAATCTGCTTTCTTCCTCCCAGAATTCAGTTCTGTCTTCTCCATCTACCTAAGTCTGCCCTATCAGCAGGCCCAAAGCAGTTTCTTTATTAACCAATGAACGCAACACAAATACAGAAGGACCTCCTATACCACACTGCTTAATGAGTCATACAAGTAGGAGCATAGAAGACAGGGGTTATTTGAACTGTCAGGAGCTCACTCAAGAGGTTTCAGAGGAGAAAAATTCTACTATATTGCTTAGAGATCATTCTTGTGACATTTTGGTGAAGAAAGTGACTGCCTTTTGCCCTTGTCTGACGAGTCTGCCTGAGACTAAAGTGAAGAGTTTGGATTAATTCCATTGGCAGAAGAAATCTCAAAACAGCCTAGTATAGACTCTGTCATGTGGATATTAGTGGTAATTCTAAAGCAGATTTATAATGGAAAGGAGCAAGCTGAGCAGGGTAATTTATAAAGAGTAAATTTTGAGGAGAAAAAGAGCACCAGGAAGTAGAATAGAACTAAATCCCTTTTAAGAAGAACTGGAAAGAAGGGAGTGGTGACCTCAGGGCAAGGTCACACCCAGCTAAATTTTCAAACTTGGGGAAAGAAACTAAAGAAAAGCTTAGGAGAGCCCAACTTAAATCCCAGAACTGGGAAGGCAGAGGCTGGTGGATCTCTGAGCCTGAGGCCAGCCTTGTCTAAAGAGGTTGTTCCAGGACAGACAAGTTTAGGCAATAAAGGAAACTGTCTATAAAACAGAAAGCTGATGAAGATGTAATTGAATGAGAGGGCTGTATTCCAGTCCTATCAAACATCAGAACTGGACAGCTTCGGCTATGTGGTTCTGGCTTTAGAGTTAAGGATAGAAGAAAGAAGCTAAGGAATAAACTGAGGCCAAGCATGTGTCAGGGGTATTACTGAATGGAGGCCTAGTGGAGAGGCCATTGCATGAAGCTGTGAAGTGGAAGCCTGGATTGCCTTGGAGAACCCAAGATGTCAGAGATGCCAGAGTTGTGGGACACCTGCTGAGGAGAGCTGCTAACAGGAAGTGGAACCAGCTCAAGAGAAGAGTGTGTTGCAGTCAACAAAGCTGAAAGGAGTTGGAGATCTGAAGAGTGTTTCAACATCAGACATGGAGAAACAGATTTTGGGGTTTGCCCAGTTGGTTTTGGTCTTGCTTTGTGTTTGGATGGAAGCTTCATCCCAGCCCCTAGCATCCACATATCCAAAGAGTCTGGAATGTTTGGTTGGAACCTTTACCCCAGACCCTGGCTTCCATATATTCAAAGAGTCTTGAATGTTTGAGTGGCATCTCCAACACAAGCTCTCTCCCCTGGAGTTGCCTCAGTCAAGACTCCAGTTCTGAGAAAGCCTGCCAAATGATGACCCCTCCCTCGGAGATGCTCGAGACCACTCCCACAGGGTATTGAAACTGCCCCCCCCCCAGAGAACAGACTTGTGGTTTTCTGGTCTTCCTTTCCCATCTCCTCTCTAGGGGACTGGAAAACAATCTGTGAGTGTGGTATCCATTAAACCTGGGCTTTTTCTAATCCACTTTGATTTGGTCTGATTTGGATTATTGTGTTGGTGGAGAGGCTTATTCGGGTGCAGAAACTTTTCACTTTGGTCCAGTATTTCCTCACTATGTTCCCTTCCCTGTGTTTTGGAATGGTAATGTGTATCCTGTGTCATTATATGTTGGAAGAATGTGATCTGATTTTTTTAATTTTGATTTTAAAGATGATTACAGTTAAGAGATTTTCATGTGTGCCTCAGAAGAGACTTTGAACTTTGGCTTTGAAACAACTTTGAGACTGTGATAGACTACAGGGACTTTGGAAGTTGGACTGAATGCATTTTTGCATTATTATATGGCTATAAGCCTTTGGGGGCCAGGGAGTGGAATGTGGTGGTTTGGAAGAAAATGGTCCCTAAAGGACATTATTAGGAGGTATGGCCTTGTTGGAAGGAGCTGTCACTGTGGGAGTGGGCTTTGAGGTCTCTTTTGCTCAGCCTTCCCTCAGAATGACAGTCAGTTGACTTCCTGTTGCTTGCGAGCCAAGATGTATCTATGGCCACATCTGCCTTCACGTCACCATGTACCACCATAATAACAAACTGAACCCCTGATACTGTAAATGAGTTATCCCAATTAAATGTTTTTTTTTATTTTCTTTATAAGAGTTACCATGGTCATGGTGTCTATTCACAGCAATGAAAACCCTAACTAAGACAAGTCCTGAGCATACATGGAGACTTTTGGGAGGAAAACTTCTAGATGCAGTGTCAAGGGTTAGAAGTGCACTTGGAGGCAGGAACATTACAGAGCCAACACAGGCTTTGAATTTCAAATGGATCAATAGGCTTATGTGTTTGAACACTTGGTTCCAGTGGATGGCACTGTTTGGAAAAGTGGAGATGGACCATCTGGAATATGGAACACGAAGTTACTGGGAGAGGCAACGGCTCTTCCACAGCTTCTTTGGTGGAACTGAGTCTCAGAAACGGGTAGGGGGACTAAGAAGAGCAAATGCAAGGCATAGAAACATGAAATCAATGTGCTTTGGTGCAGATAGAGGCCAAAGTCGCCCAGTGAATCACTAGCTCTTTCTTAAACACATATATACACTATCAGCCGGGCGGCGGTGACACACAACTTTAATCCCAGCACTCAGAGACAGAGGCAGGCGGATCTCTGTGAGTTCAAGGCCAGCCTGGTCTACAAAGTGAGCTCCAGGACAGCCAGGACTACGAAGAGAAACCCTGTCCCTCAGAGTTCCTTATTGTCTCTCCCACTGTCTCTGGTTCTCCAAGGGCCCTCAATCCCACAGGCCTGAGGCTTTTGCTGAGTGTGTTGACATTAGACCTTGTAGAGAAGAAAAACCTCCTGAGCTCAGCCTAGGAGTGATTGATCAGTGCTAGGGGTGAAAAATAGTATTCAGCTGATATGAAAGCATCACCCAAAACGTCTGCCCTTTTAGGCTGTGACTTCCCAGAAACACCCTTTCTCTGTTGTGGTCTCCCATGGGCAACTCTCTGCTGTATTAACAGTAAAAACAAAATATTTAAATGCAGACCCTGGAGCCATATTACCTGGATCTGTAACCTCAGCTATGTGGTTTATTAGTTATAGGACATTTTTGGGAGGGGGAGCATTCAAGACAGGGTTTCTCTGTTGTTTTGGAGCCTGTCCTGGAACTAATTCTTGTAGACCAGGCTGGCCTCCAACTCACAAAGATCTGCCTGCCTTTGCCTCCCAAGTGCTGGGATTAAATGTGTGCGCCACTACCACCTGGCTGTATGACTTTGTTTTTATTGTGTGCTCTCTCTCCTTACATGTGAAATGGTGATAATGACTTTTACCCTACGATTTAGTATATGCTAAACCCCTAGAAGATTTGCTAGAGCAATCAATGTTCTATGAATGTTGGTATTATTACTGATTATATTGTAACCTAATGCAATGAGCTCACCTCTTGGTAAGTGTGGAGCTCTTTAGCACAGCCAGGCGATAGAAAGAATGAAGGTGTGCTATCTGAAGTGAATGATCAGCCCAGGAAGCAAAGGTTTGGAAACAAAGTCACGTGTTCATACGGCACAGAGTAATCACACTTCGAGGAGAGCACATTCCCAGGCACACTCAGTCCTTCCTGCACAGTGCATGTTCAGAGAGTGGTGACCCAGCATGCCTCTGAGCAGGGACTTCAGTATTATATCAAGCAAAGTTTACTGTAGGATGACTCAATGATTCAAGATGTTCCTTGTAGATTTCCCCAGAAGGCCTTGTTTAAAATAACAAAACCATCTAAGGCATGTTAGCAGTCATGTAAAGGGGTAGCAGTGCCCTTTGTAAGCATAGGATTGCTTCCTGATCAGCGACTAAAGACTTCCCCTATGACATTCCATTCCTCAGATCTCAGGGGCCTAGAGATAGTGGTAATTCCAAAATCACTTAATGCTGAATAGGGCACAGTCATGTCCTTTTTAGAAAAGTGAAATTCTCTTATTAATAAAGTGTGGTAGTTGCCCACAGAATCAACTAAGCAGGGTTCATAGGGACTCACAGAGAATGAAGAGGCAACCATGGAGCCTTCATGGGTCTGCACTAGGCTCTCTACATACATGCTTTGGTTAGATGCTTACCTGGGAGTTTTGCTGGACTCCTAACAGGACAAGTGAGATTGTTGCTGACTCTTTTGTGTGCTCATGGGATCCTTTTCTTCACGCTGAGTTGCCTTGTCCAGCCTGAATATGTGTTGACAGAGATTTCTGTCCCACCAGATCCCACAGCCGTTCAGTTCCAGAGAAACACACAGAGGTTTACATTAATTATAAACTGGTTGGCCTATTACCTCAGGCTTCTTATTAATTCTTAACTTACATTAGCCCATAATTCTTGTCTATGTTAGCCACATGGCTTGGTACCTTTTATCAGTGAGACATTCTCATCTTGCTTCCTTTGTGTCTAGGTGATGACTACAGAGTGACCCTTTCTTCTTCCCAGAATTCTCTTGTTCTGGTTGCCCTGACTATACTTCCTGCCTGACTACTGGCCAATCAGCATTTTATTAAAGAAATACAAGTGACAATCTTTACAAGGTACAAGACCATTACCCCACAGCAGAGATGAGGGTCTTTCTGTGCCTAGCCTTTTTGCATGTTGTTACAACGTGTTTGTTGATACCTCTGGGAGACTTACTCTTTTCTAAAGGGAAACAGAGGAGTCATAGATCTGGGGAAAAGGGGAATTGAGGGAGTACTGAGAGGAGGGGAAGGAGGGGAGGTTGTAGCCAGGATGAGAGAAGAATAAAAAAAAAACAAGGTGTGATAGTCTTTATGATCACCAACAATAACCTATGAAAGCATTTCTTTGACTCCCTCAGCGATTATTCTACAGAGCAATTCACAGCAGGTTAAATATGTCACACTTAGTCAAATGAACCTTCCTAATGCAAGTGACACAGAAAATTTAGATTTAATGCCCTAGAGAATCCAGGATAATTATTCTGAAAAACCACTGTACTGTGGGTGTCTATTAAAGACAGGATGTCTGCTTTCAGTGCTTCCAAGATGAGTTTGAACTTCATCAGCAGCATCAACGTGAAATAAACACAGCAGGGGCAGGGTGCAGAATAGAACAAACCACTGCTTGCGCAACTAGGACAGCATCTACAGAGATGCGGATATGGAGTACAACTTGAACGGAAGAATCCCACTTCTGATGAGCAGAATTGGCCCAAGATGTTTCATTCCTAAGCTCCCCAAGGTGCTAATTTTCTAATCATACACACATGGGGCTCCCATCCCCACACTGAGACACGAACATCCTGGTGGAAAGAGACCCAAACTCATCTTCCTTAACCCATAAAATTTTACAATTATCTTGTAAAAATTAAACAACACTGTCCTCTGGGGCACCATCATTTCGATGCAGGTCTACAGTGTGGAAACAGACACTACCCAATTCCCCAAACCTTTGTCCACAGCCAAGGTGACGATTGTTCTCAGTCGCCCAGGTTTCATAACCACATGTGCCCCCAACCAACCACTCCTTTAAAGATGTCCTTCAATCTTCCAGAACTTTAATTGAAGGCATCTGGCATGCACCAAGATTTCTTTGAATCTCCCAGATCTCTGTTTGCTCTAGCTTCGGATTTATGGCGACCCCTCCTTGCGTCTCCAGCACAGATCTGTCTCTATGATCCCAGAGCCCTACCCACAAAGAGAAGGGTCCGGCATGACTCATAATCCAGAGAAACTTTGGAACCAAATTTCAGAGCGGCTACTAATTCAACCCAAGTTATTAGGAGTGCAGTCAGGCATCAAGAAATAACTTCTCCCATCTCTTGGTGGTCTGCTTCTGTCGACAGAGAAAAGTCAATCCAGGATAAAATGCCACCGCCCACTGATTCTCCTGTTGGCAGGCAAAGTAGCCAAAAGCCATCTGGGTGGCCAATTTTGTAACTGAAACAGGTTTGCCTCTTAGTAAGTACAAAGTCCGTAAGTTCAGCAAGGGCCACAGCATCCATAGGTGAATGAACCTCAGCCTATCTGTCTAGTTGCCAGCAGTACTAGCTCTCATTTAAGGAGTGTTTTCTGCTACCACGCACAGGGCAGGCCCTTTATATACCCTCTCATTGCTGAGCTGTGAGGCAGTCTGCTGTCTCTGCACAGGATTCCTAATACAAGGTGTGGGGGGGGGCGGGGGGAGGCGGCGGGGTAAGCTGCTGCTTCTGGACCAAAGAACTTTCTTTCCTGCTCTAGGCATTGGCTCCTGCCACTTGATTCGCATTTAGTTGAGTTTGATCCTGGATCCTCATAAACCTCTTGATAAACCCAAACTCACTCCAAGATGCCAATGGTTTTCACATCAATGGATTTTTGGTGAGATATTGTGGATACCCACACTCAGGACCGGAATTTTCATCTCCTGTTCTGTCCCCAGAACATGGCTTTTTTCTATGATTTGAGGACGGCTCAATACGAGGTCCAGATGCTTCGTTTCTTTCCAGACTGATCTGGCCTATGTAGTGAACTCAGCAGCTAGAGGACAATTTTGACTCTCTAAGATAAGGAGACATAGTCATTGTCTGTTTCCAAGATCTCCAGCAGTTTCTCTCTAGCCTTTCTCCCTGTATGTCCTTGTAACACAGGCCATGCCTCTGTCCAAAAAGCATAGCCACAGTTGAAAGTTCATAGCCCCTAATGGGGTCAGAACTATGCAAACTTCTCTTGATGTGACTTAGCCCTATCCATGACTGATATCCTTCAAAGATCAAGTGTCACTCTAAGCCTCATGGTCTTAAGGCATGCGCAACCAAGTCCAGGGTTCATCCTGACTTGCAAATCTATCTCAAGCGAGACACACCACAGAACAGAAGCAGAAAGATCATGAGGACCAGGCGGTCCCTCATCCTTATTTATTGAATTGCCCAGGACTCCAGCATTTCATGATGGGTAACCATTTCCTGCCTGGGTCACGACTGCTTAGGATGCAGCTCCTTCTTATCACACAAACCCCACAGACGCATTGCTCAACAGGTAGTGACGGCTGCCTGAGAAAGACAAACACCACGTCTCAGCTGCATCCTAAGCACACTCAGATCCTATTGACTCTGTCTGTAGACCCCAGATGGATCCAAGACTGGCTTGTTTTGCCATGGACCAATTCTCTAGAACTTAAGAGGTGTTGTCAAGCTGCCCCCCACCAAATCTGTGACCTTATAGCTAGCCACTAAGATTAATTCCCGTAGGTGAGGGCAGTGGCTACTGATATAAAATGTTCCATCTCGGAAGAAGGATGGCCCTATTCCTAAAGGTTCTAGGATGGTAAATAGTTCAAATTTGGGAGTCTCCTATGAGAACTCCCTCTTCTCTCTCTGCTACCAGTACTTACATCCATCCGCTCATTTGCCTCTTACGCCAGGTAGATTTTTGCCAACTTGACACAAGCTAGAGTCATCTGAGAAGAGAGACTCGGTTGAGGAAACATCTCCATCAGGCTGGCCTCTAGCCAAGGCTGTGTGGTATTCTCTGGATGAATGACTGAGGTAGGAAGACCCAATCCCCTGAGGACAGATGGTTCTGTGCTGCATTCAAAAATCAGGGCGAGCAAGCCACAAGGAGCAAGCCAGTAAGCAGCGCTTCTCTATGGCTACTCCTTCAGGTCCTGTCTCCAGGTTCCTGCCTTAGCATCCCTCAGCTATGGATTAGGACTTGGTAAGCCAGAATGAACACTTCCCTCCCCGCAGTAGACAGAAAACAAACCGGGACCCTTCTCATCACAGTGCAAAAAAAAATGTCGTGAAGAAATGAGACGCAAAGAATTCAAGTAACGTGTAAAGGTCACTAAACATGTGATATAAATTGAAGCTGAAGAGTCATCTTCCCAGGCTGGAGGAGAAGGCTCAGAGGTTGAAAGCACTGGCTGCTCTTCCAGAAGTCCTGAGTTCAAGTCTCAGCAACCACATATTTGGAGGCTCACAGTCATCTAGAATGAGATCTGGTGCCCTCTTCTGGCTTATAGGCATGCCTGCAGGCAAACCACTCTACATAATAAATAAACCTTTTTATTTAAAAAAAAAAAAAACATCTTTCCATAAGCTGCTTTGTGGAACAGAAGACTGTGGTCCAAGATGGAATGGGAGATGTCAATCAAAATACTGTCTACAGTCCAGGTAATATCAGAGCCGACTGCCGGTATACTCCAGAGCTCTTTACAAAATGCTGAAATTGCTGTGGAAAAGAAATTCCCAGAATTACCGCAGGCTGCTTTGAAAGCATTTTAAAGATAGGATTGCCATCTAGTGGTCAGAAAGTTATCATTTCCTCTCCAGGCGGATAAAGGGGAAAGCAGGTAAAGTAAGGACAGTTTGGGAAAGCCAGCAGGAAATGTTTCTTTTTCTCTCACACTACAGAGGAAGAGGAAGGTCAGGTCTCACCACCATGACCATCAGAAGATCTTGAAGCTTTACTATGGCTGTGTGTGGGAGCAAGATAGGTTTAGCGCCCAATTTTGCTTACTAGTGTCTGTGTCCGTCACTTTTCTTTCCATTGCTATGATAAAATATCTGACAGAAGCAATGTAAGGAGGGGAGGCTTTGTTTGGGATCACTCTCTAAAGGGGGTTCCATTCCATTACGGTGGCAGCAGAAGGTGACTGGTCACGCTGTATCCACAGTCAGGAAACAAAATGGTGAATGCTGGTGTTCTCTCTCTCTCTCTCTCTCTCTCTCTCTCTCTCTCTCTCTCTCCCTCTCATTTGGTTTGGTTCTGTTCTGTTCTGCTTTCTTCTGTTTGAACAGGGCTTTACACTGTTGTTATACAAACCTTGACCTCACTATGCCGTCCAGACTGGCCCTGAACGTCTGACAACCTACCTGCCTAGGCCGTTGGATTACCTACATTGCAGGCAGGAGCCACTACATCCAACTTGTTTTCCTTGTTTGACTGAGTCTGGGGTCACTGATCTCCAGCCTTCTGGCCAGATCCATTCGTCTCACTTAGGCTTCTGTGGAAGCACCTATATACATAGACACCCAGAAGGGCATTGCCCGGGTGACCCTAAATCCCATCAAGCTGATGGTGAAGATTAATCCCAACACTGGTAGACGGTTATGAGCAGGTTAATTAACCTCCTCTACTGTTCTGTGGAATGGGGAAAACAACCATGTACCCGGTGAGGCAATCAAATAAAACATTTCATAGAATGTGTCTGGTATATTGTAACCACTTAAAATGGTACATGCTCCCGTGATACAAAAACAACTCATAACAACTGGGGTAGAAGAAGAGAGGGAGGACCTGGGCAATCGATAAGTTAATAAATCAATAAATCTTGAAGGACCCGCCACAGGACTGTTCTGAGGGAATCAGCCTTTCTTTTCTGAATATAATTTCATTTCCTCTTCCAATCTGTCATCCTGCTTCACCGAGTCATGTTGTTCACACATGATTCTGCCCTGTCTCCTGCATTAATTTGATTGTCTGGTTCAGTATGTAAAGCTCAACACTGTTCTTACGTTGCCCCGTCCTGGATCCTCACTACCTTCCTGCCCATAGGAAGCTATTATCCGCTCTCCTATTTGCCTACCACCTCCCAGGCAAAGGCCTCCTTTCTGCAGGGCAGGGTTTTGTTTTTTTTTTAAAGCCTCTCCCTGCAATCACCCTTGTCTTTCCACTAACCATCTCTGTGAACAGGTGCTTGAAAACAAACAAGCAAACTTTATCTCAAAGTTTAAACTTACAACACATTTCAGGATCCTTGTAACACTTGTAAACAACTAGTTTGGGGAGCAAACATTACAAAACCACTCGAGATCATGTCAAAGTCAACTTTGATCTGGACTAGTTATTTAGTACTTCCCTGATAACTGTTTCACCGAAAGGTTAATATTTATCCTTGAATATCCTTTACCACTGCACTGGGCAGTGAGCCACCATACCAGGCCCTGCATGGCTGCCTCTCCATACCGCTATCCCTGGCTATTGGAAGACCTTAGAATCAGGTTTGTCTTGGTTTATCGTCTATGTGCTTGGAACCTGGGTAGAGGACAGCATAGCAGGTGAGATTCCACCTAGGGCTGGCACTTGCGGGAGGCATAGTGAGATCTTGGCAGTGAGCGGAACATGGAGATAGGTGGCAGGGGTTCCTTCAGGCCTCACCGGAGGAAGCTGTAGCATCAAAGAGTCTGTGGGCAGAAAAGGTTCAGTCTGGTTAATGTAAACTTGGAAATGGTGGAATGTGTATGTACCCTAGGGAAAAACCAATCAAAATATGTTCACCTAAAAGGGTTCTGATAACCCATAAGGTCCTTGTCCTTAGATGTGCTTAGTACATGGAACATTGGCCACACAGTGACAAGACCGGCTTGTTTGGATTGCACCCAGCTCCCAAATGAATCTACAGATCAATCTGGGAAGAACTGAAAAGAACAGGAACCAAGACAGGGTGGTATCGGCCTATAGAAAGTCAATAGTTGAGTGGAATTGAGAACTCAGGGAACAGATCAAAAGGAAAGGGGGTTTTCGTGTTCTTCTGTATCTCCCAGAATGCAACCTCCCAAAGCTTTTACTGGGAACCAGTCTGTAATTCCGCATTTTACTAAATCCTTCTGCTCTTATGAGAACCCTGAGGTAGATACTGATGTCCTGATTTTACAACTCAGTAACTACTGGAACTTGTACAAGTGATAGTGGCCATCACCTAAAGTCCCTTTGGAGAAGCAGTGGAGATTTCCCCCATATTCCCAGTAGTTTCCCTTAGGAAAGAACTCATATTAATCTCTAAATCATGTCAGTAAACTGAGATGAAATACTGATTCCCATCTTCAACCTTGACTGTGAATGTCTTGAGAGCTGAGACAGAAAAGCTACAGTTTTTCAATTAATTTCCAGTACTTAAGACAGCACTTAGATATATAGTTTAAAGCTTCTTGCTGTTATAAAAATATATTCTGAACATCAGTGAATTAACACAAAAATGTGTATGTACAAATAATACATATTTGTTCATTTAAAACTATCTGACATACAAGGTTACCCCTTTCCAAATAGAGGTTTGGAACCCAAGCTGCCTTTATCTCAAAGCTGTGGCTTTTGGAAGATGGGGCCTCTTCATGCCGTCTGTAGCAGCAGAAAAGAAGTGTACTGAATCTTATCAGTGACCTAGCACAAGTCATGCCCATACCACGCCTGTTTGGCAAAGCAAGTTATATAATCCCACCTATCCTTAAACAACTGGGAAATGTAGTCTAGGGAGTAGCAAGTGATACAGATACACTGGTGGAATATTAGTGGATGCATTATAGGACACCCTGGGGGTGAACATCAGATCTAAAAACAAACTTCACTTGTACCTTGTTCATAGTCTGAAGGTCATTTTGTACATTGTGGTTTGACCTGCATGCCACTGTGTGACATCGGGAATGGAACGGCATCATGTTGGCTGTTAGTTTTAGGTTTTGGAGCATTTGGGATTCCTAACTCCTCAACCTGTGATGAAAAGAAGAGAAACCATGTGTGTAACTTCTATCTGTTTGCACACCCTATCCTGAGCAAATAGAGGCCAGACAGTGTCACTGAGGACACCTTTCCCAGTGGCTTGTGTTTGTGAGAATTTACCAACTTCACCTCATGATGAACAGCAGGTGCACTGTTGCCTCCATTTGCTGGTCCATGTGGCTTCAAGGACTTGAGGAGAGAGTCAGTTTTTGAGATCTACAACTAAACTCTTACGTCACGCTGTATCATGAGCATCAAATGCTGTGACATGCAGGAGAACGTTTCGTAAGGTGTTGAGATGGAGCCAGATGAGTGTTTTTGTTTAGTTGGTAGCTTGGCAACTTGTTTGCTTATCTTGTAGCTTCTACTTCCTGGTAGAGTTGTGATGTTGTCAGGCGAAGTGAGATGCTGTATATGACTATGACATTTCAAATATCCAATCAGTGAGTTACACAAAGTGTACATAAAGCGTATATGTACAAAGAAGGTATTTGCCAACACCTTCACTATAAACCACTTTTGGCAAGAGACATTTTCTTCTTTTCACGGTGATCAGTAGCCAGGCAACTGAGGTAAGAACAAGCTGCTAGCTGTGTGGTTTTCTATGAAGTCTTTTGCTCTTGTTCTCACTTGCAAAATGGAGGATAATAATATTTTCTTTTGAGAACGACAAAAAGTATTGAAACACTGGTGAACTTTAGCTACTCACACAGTGTGCTGAGTGTCACGGAGCACTAGGCAAATGGCTGCAATGTATTGCCAACATCATCGTTGTTGTTGTTGTTGTTGTTGTTGTTGTAAGGAAAAAATCATGTTGTTCCAAACACACACAATAAAACTCTCTCATTGCTTAACTGAATCAGGAAATCCCCTAAGCATCCTAAACACGCTATCAGTGTCTCTAATACCTATAGGAAGCAAGCAGTTAACAACATACCCGGGCATCAACGCTCTACTTGGGAGATATTCCTTTGGAGCTCAGAACATATTTTTCCCAAAGACAAAATGATATTAAAATAGTGATTGGATTCTAAGTGACAGAAAACACCCACTTGATTAGAGTCTGAAAATGGGCATAGTCGCAATACAAAATGCTACAAAGCAAGGTTGCTGTGTTGTTGGTCATTATCCAACACGGGAAACTATAAAAAATTATTTTATACATTATTTATTCTTCATGAATGTTGATTACGGAGAACAGCAGTCTTAATTGCTGACACCACAGAGGGAAGGAGAAATTAACAGAAAGTTAAGTAAGGACTGCCAAAATGCTTCTGAGAGTGTGTTCCAGGGCTCTGGGCTGAGCGTGTCCCAGAGTTGTGATATGCAAGCCCCTAGGGCAGAATGCAAGCATGAATCAGTGAGTTCCTTGCACCAGTGCAGAGAGAGAGTTCAGAAACACCCGGCTAGCACACTCCCCGAGGCAGCGCATGGTCACAGGACAAGAAAGGAAGTGACGTGAGAGAGAAGGAGTACAAGACAATGGGCGTGGTTGAGGGTCACTGGGGTGAAAGGGAGAAATTACCGTCTTATAAAACAGACGAATGAGCATCATGGCCTGAGAGGGTCCTGTGCCTTTAACATGAGGGCCCAGAGATTCAACCAGAACTGCTTCTGTGCTGCCTGAAACCGCTGACTTAACAGATACCTCTGTATCCTCATTCCCAAACAAATGTGACATTCTGTTTCTCAAAGCCCCCTATGCTGGAACACTCCTTCACTGTTACTACTCTGAGGGCAGACCTGTTACTTATTCAGTCCTTCTCCCGTGAGTTACCTCTCCTGTTTTGCTTGTCCTGAGGCTTCCTCTGTCTAGTCCCAGGACTATTGTTCTTTGTGATCTTGTGACCCACACTGTTTCCCCAAGGGATCAAGCCCTCAGTCATGGGACCCTTCTGCTGAAAGCCCGCAGAGCCCCATTCTGCTATCTTCTCCCAAATAACTCAGCCATGAATTTATTGCTGCTCTTTTACAAGATAATTGCTGTGGGTAAAGGCTTTGAAGATCACCCTGCCTTTTGCAACATCTATCCTTGAGGTTGGAACAGAGTTTTAGCCAACCTTGGACCCTATAATCTTCCAAACTGCAGCCTTGATTTTATCTTTGACATTCTAAATCTTGGCCTAAATCCTAAATTCCAAGAGACCAGGCCACAGGACCTTGAAGGACACTTACTGAATTACCAAAGAAGCCTTCAGTGAGGTAAACTGTTCCCCTCCACCCTCACCTCATGTCTCTCAGTACCCCCATGATTCTAACCTTGTTCCCCACAGAGAACCCCAGAGTTTTCCAACCAAATGCAAAATCTGACTCTCCACAGTCTCTCAAGTAACAGCAACTCATAAAATCTTCAGAGGCTTTGTCTAGGATGATCGACTCAGTTCCCAGAGGCAAAAGACTTATGGTCTAGGATGTGGACTCAGCGCCCATTGTCACCCTAACAAAACAAGGCCTTCCTCAACAGGAGAGCCAGCTCCGGTTGGCACCTTGGGTCAGTGATGAGTGTTTGAACATCAAACCAAGCAGCAGGTACCCTGAATATCCTTGCTCTTTGATTCCCATGTTGTCACTTACTTCTGAATTGTTTCTCTCCAATTTTCAACCCTGAAAGAGCTGGAAGAAGCTCGAGGTGATAAAGTCCCCGAAACAACTTCTCACATGCTGTGAGATCTGTGTGCAAAGACTTTCCTAAGCCCAGCCTGCTTCTCAGGACAATAGAGTGGAAAAGAACAGAAGTGAAGCTTGCGAATGAGGTAAAGGGAATGCACACAAAGGAATCACTAGGTGACTAGAACCCTCCCTTCAGCTTCTGGTTTCGACTCGGGTGGGACGCGGATTGCAACATGCAGAAACATCACATGAAGTTCCTTCTCAAGTTTGGGGAAAGCTTTGGATGGCACTGTATGCTGGATCCCTTCAACTGTAACTCTCCCATTGTTTTTTTAATAAGAATAATGAACTCAGCATTCTACCAACCTTGACATATGTCATAAAAAGAAAAATAGATAATTGTATCTTTATGTCTCCAAAATTTTCTTAAATGTAATTTAACATGTAATTTATTTTACACTAAATTCATATTTTAAAATACTATAATGACAATGTTGCTCTTTACTGTTGAATTGGAGGCGAGCATCTCTCTTTGGGGACTAACAGGAGATACAGTTCCCAAGTCATTCCCTGCACTACTTTACTGTCTAATCATCCACAAGTTTCCTATTTTCTGAGACTCATTCTGTCTGAATCCAAAAGAAAGAGATTAGTAGCCCCTTAGCTTTAATGCCTCTGTCCACTCAACAGAGATGTTGGCAGATCCTAGTAGATAGAAAGATTAGAAGGGTATGTGAAAACAGACAGTTTTGATTACACCGAAGGATGCTGAGACCAATACGTTATTGTCAAACAGCTTTCAAATTCCATAATCACCATACTATGGACAGGTAACAGAACTGCTTCTCTTGGATTATACTCCAGTTCTGTGCACTTTCTATGCTAGATATGTTCACAAGAACACAGCCATTGACATTTAATGTGTAAGATGACAACCATCAAAATCTGCTGAAATTTTACCCCCCATCAAAGCAGAGACATGGCTCACAGAGGGGTTCTAAATTGAAGTAGTTTTCAGTCTACGTAGTAATTCAGTGCCATACTATCCTAAAGCCAAGAGGTACAGTATGTAGATCAGTGGATTCACCAGGAGAATTCACAGAACCCAGCATAGAGTTGAGGATTTGGGTTGTTTTGGTGAAAAGAAGCAAAGGAAAGTTAGGACAGGGAAGGGTCTGGAAAAAAATAAAACAAGTATAAAGATCCAAAAAATCCATCAAATCCTCTAATGCCACGATGAGATGCGTTAGAGATCTGCCTTCAGGCTCCTGTTGGGGGCTGGTCATATGATCACCTTCCATTCCAAAGTCCCAGGCTCCTAGAAGGAAAGCAGGTGTTTAGCACAAATTGTTGTAAAAAACAGTTCAGGTACACCAAATCTCTCTTATCAGGCCTTGCTGATATAGAAGTTTCTAGTGAGCCATAAACCAAGACCTAACCTTGAAAGCAGGTCTTCTGAGCAATAACATTCTAGGGGGCTGCTATATCCACTTTTCTATGCACACAGAATTATGAACAAGAAAATGCAAGATAGTTGGGTGTTAATGAGTAATTCATTGGCCTAGGGTTTTTGGACTGTTTTTGTTTGTTTGTTTGTTTGTCAGTTTGTTTGATACATCAGTGAGTGAGGTAGGTAGGGGTAAGTTAACTATGGCTGCTGAATTTTGTCAGATTAACTCATACTAAGTAGCTTCCCACCCATCCACTGACAAGGTCGTCTAAGCAAAGGTCTATGAAGTCCAGCACTTCTTCCTAACCTCCATCTAACGCTTGCATTTCCCTGGAACCCTGGTCTTTGTCACAAAACTTCTCTTCAGCCTCTAAAGTAGGAATTATGTGGTACTTCTCTGTTGGACTTACCCAGGCTTTTTCCTGAATCCAATTGCCCCCAGAGCAGTTCTGCCTCATTTCTACCCAAGCCACATTTTCATCTGCTTTATTGGTCCTTTGTCATTCTGGTTGAAGAGTGAGTTTCTGAGAAGTATACCTTTCCCTCAGCCTATAACTTAAAAGTCCTTTGGTTTCTGCTTTTAGGCTTGGGGTAATTTTTATACCGTTGTATCCCGCACTAGGGTTGGCTAGAGCTTTCAAGTTTGCCTTTCCCCTCCCTTCCTTCTAGAATCTTCTCACGTGAGAGCCCTGAATGCTGCGACCAACCCCAAAGTCTCAGCCTCTTTACAGCTACTGATCTCACTGCCCTGGCTCCTATCGGAGAAATTTCTGGCGCCCCCTAAACTCTGGACTCTCCACCCCTCCTGTGTGTTTGTATCAGAAGCAGCATGTACTGTTTGCAGGGTTCAGATCACTGGTGACAATAAATGGGAGCACAAGGTCTCCCTGGCAAAGAGGTAGCAGGTGGTGACACTTTGGCAACATGTCTGATCTCCCAGCCAAGAAGTAACCAGAGTCAATTGGTTTCACCATGTTGTCCACACCTTGGGTAATTCAGATATCCTGGGATTCCTGGAAGCTCTCCCTTGATAGCCGCTCAGACGGGAGTTTTCAAACCGTGATGTGAATGCCAAATAAAAGCAAGGCCACTGAGACCTGAAGCTAATCGGGCTGTTAGGAGGCAGTTCCTGGTCAGGGCAAGTGAGGCGAGATGGGCACCTGGGGACACCAGGAGTGCAAAGAAACTTCCGTTTCAGAAAGACCCCAGCCACCAGGAAGGAGATGAGGAGGCACAAGACTGTTGGAGGAGGGTTGTAATCTCTTAAGATGTGGGGCAATCTCAATACAATCTCAATGTCAGCCATGGTAGACATTTAGAAGAACGAATAATCGGGTGTTGGGAGTGGCCATGAAGGGATGGAGGTCTTCCAGTTCGGGGGTGGGTCAGCAGTAAAGACATTCAGTTAAAGGACACCAAAATATAGATGTTGCATCTAGACAGCTTCACACTCTGATCCCCTTTTAGCCTTCCTTTTATGGTCAAAGTGTTCTCACTGGGTTTGTTCGGGTTTTGTCTTTCGAAGGTTCAGAAATGTCTATCGTGTGCTTGGCAGACTTTAAGGCCCACGCACGCAAGCAGCTGTCAAAGTCATCATGGGACTTTATTGAAGGAGCAGCTGACGAGGGCATCACATGCGAGGACAACATCGCCGCATTTAAAAGGTCTTCCCTTCGCCCTTTCCCTTGTCACCCTAATGTGCTTTGCTGACTAGCTCCTTAGATGGTCACCATTCTAGTGGCCGCCGTTAGCCAGCACAGCATATACAGGAACTCGGCTGGCTTCTGGCTTCCGTGCTGGTTTATTGTGGCATGGGGATGAGGCATAGGGCGTGGGGGAGACGTTTTGTGGAGAGAATCTGTCTTACAGCTAGGGGAAGTGAGTTATCAGTTCTCTGCTTGCCAGCAAGTTTGTGACATGTCAAAATGGAACAGGGCCTGCCAGCGTGCCCAGCGGGGAAACCTGCATGTAGTTCAAGAGCTCTCGAGTTCCTGAAACCTCCCCGCCTTGGAGGATGAAAATGTGAAGGATGGAAAAAAAATCTCAGGTTTGGAGAAAATAAGATCAAGGGATGTCTAGGGATGATGGAAGAGAACTCGACTTGCAAACCAAGGGCAGGAGTATATGTCAATGGACAATAGCTACAGACCAAGTTTCCATTTGCCATAAGACAATGTTTGGATGTCATTTGTGAATTAGCCTACCTCCCTAAAGCAGTGTATAAGTCAAATGAATTAGTCTCCTGGGTGACAGGGTAGGGTGGGGATGATGGCATGATTGTTTTCTAGGATTTGGACACTTTTAATTGCCTTGTCTTTCTTTCCAGTGATGCCTAAAATTCCTTCCTTCCTTTTCTTTCCCTAGTCTAGTCTTTGCTGATAAAGACTAAATTAAGTATCTAAGCACTGAGTGGCAAACCAGCCACAGAAACAGGACTCTAACAGAGCAAGACAGGCTAAGGGGGACTCTGGTTCAATAACAGCTCAGGAGTTGCTGGGTTAATGTGAGCGAAATGGTTGCCTGGCAATTAGTCTCCTCCTGAGCCTACACCCACTTATTCAAGACCGGCCCACTGATTCCACCAAGATCTAAGCTCCAAGTCTGCTTAAGCCTGCATTGGGAATCAGAGTCCCAGCTGCAGAAAGCATCACCATGCTAGAAGAATAATCCACCTCATTGTCTAGTGCAGACTCCGCCTCCGTCCCCGATACCTGAGAGATGTGTCAGTGGTGGACACCAGGACCACAATCCAAGGACAGGAGATCCAGGCCCCCATCTGCATCTCTCCCACAGCTTTTCACTCCATCGCCTGGCCAGATGGAGAGCTGAGCACAGCCAGAGGTAGGAATCATCCCATAGGAAGGCTTCCTTTCCAGGAGGCCACAGGAGGCCACAAGAGATTTGGAGGGAGGACTCACCCAGAGAAGTGGCAGGGAGCATCAAAACTTCTTACAAAAAGGCCTTAGGGGCATCAATCTTGTTGGAATTAAGTGGGAAATGTCTTGAATCCCAGCTCTTGGGAGTAAGAAACAGGAGAATCTCTGTGAGTTCAAGGCCAGCCTGGTCTACAGAGTGAGCCAAAGCCACACAAAGAAACCCTGTCTTCAAAAAAAAAAAAATAGCAAAGGGACTGCTTAAGCCATTGCATAACATTGCATGTAGATTGTAAAAATACATACATTGGCATTAATTTCTGATTAGACCAAATTCTCTGGCCACTGATATATTTTCATAGTAAGATTACCCTACTGGGGAGACATCTTGAAATGAAGACAGCAGGAAGTGAGAAAGAACAGCTCAGTAGCCATGATGTGTATTAATACCTTTCCACTTGACAAGTAAAGCCACTAAAAAGAGGAGGAGTGGGGCTCAGTCTTCTTCCTCTCAGACAGGCGTGTCTTCCACTACAAAACACGGGATTTCGCTGTGGAGCATGCTCCATGTCTAAATCTCCTTCCTTCCACGAAGGGATTCCTAGGAGGTTTGCTTTCCTGCCCGAAGGGTATAACACACCCAAGGGCAGCTCTGGGGGATTCATTGGTGTCTCCTGTTAGAAAATCCTCATTATCACAAACAAGATTTACAGAGCAGCTTAGGCAGAAGAGAACACCAGGCCTCTCCATTGACCCAAACCCTGTGGGGATGCAAAATGAACGGGGGCAGTCTCTCCATTCACCGGGAATTCTGGCCAGAGGCTAGTTCAGACAACTCTGCTTTCCAAACCGGGTGCCACCCCCGGCTTTGCAGCTGCTCAGGAAGCCAACATCTGCTACGTCACCAGCACTTATGCCAGCTGTCCCCTGGAAGACATTGTTGCAGCTGCCCCCAGAGGTCTCCGATGGTTCCAACTCTACGTACAGTCCAATTGGGAGCTCAACAAACAGCTAATTCGGAGAGCAGAAGCCCTGGGTTTCAAAGCTTTGGTGATCACTGTAGATGTACCAGTCGCTGCCAAAAGGCGACAGGACATAAGAAACCAACTAAATTTATGGGAGCACTTAATGCGGACGGACCTCCGATCACCTGAAGAGGTGAGAAAGTTCTCAGACCCGGAGGGTATCACTTCCAAGCAGCAGTTTAGAATAAGAAGAACCCCTTATTGTCCCTCCCTTTTTTCCTCCTCCTTCCCTCCCTCCTTCCTTCCCTCACCCATCTCTTCCTTTCTCCCTCCTGCCTTCTTTTCCATGAATATCTCCCCCCTACCTGCCTTGCTGTGGGAGAGCAGGGGGGAGCAGTTAGAGACTTGGTACCTGGTTTAAGCTGCCCACAGCTTCCTGGCAGAACTGAAGACTAAATGCGCATCTCTGAAGCTCTCCTGGCTGTCATTAGAGACGTTCAACTAGGCCTGATGTCCGGAGATTGGTGGTGGTGGTGGGGGTAGTAGGGGTGTCTTAGAGAGCTGTGCAGGAACTGGAGAGCACACTAAAGTGGTCTTCTAATATTTTCTATTTCATGTCAAAAAGGGTTTGTCTTGCATGGTGTAGACAGACAAACTGACTCTCGGGAGAGGACCCCCGCAGCACAGGGGCACAGCTAGCTAGCTAGTCCAGACAGCTGGGACCCCAATCTGCTGCCTTGAAAACTTAAAATTCCTCCAGAAGCATCAGGGCACTGCAGCACATCTTTTGGAGATGTCTCATTAAGGACGACAAGGGACACCTCCTTCCTTACATTCTAACTGTCGAAAAAGATGTCATGCCCTTGGAGTGAAGATCAGGGCCACCGCGATAAGGGCCTTTTCAGCCTGTGGGCAGCTGTGATTCCTCTGGGTGTCCTTGGAGCAAGGGACACGTCAAAATTTAAGGAAATCTGCTGAATGATGAGAACCAAGGCCAGATAAAAGGCAATGCCTTGTTTAAGGTTCTTATTGCTTTGGTTTTATTAGTTTTCTTAGCTCAACCATAAAATGTCAAAGTGTCTGGGCAGTGGTGGTACACACCTTTAACCCCAGCACTCAGGAGGAGAGATCAGCAGTTGTCTGTAATTTTAAGACCAGCCTGGTCTACAAAGTAAGTTCCAGGACAACCAGAGCTGTTACATGAGAAACCCTGTCTCAAAAAAAAACCAATGAAAGAAAAAAAAGAAAAAAAGAAAGAAAGAAAGAGAGAGAGAGAAAGAGAGAAAGAGAGAGAAAAGAAAGATGTCAAAATGATCCATACTGGTTTTTTTCCACATATTAAACTCCGCACCCTTTTAAGATATAGATTCGTCTTATCTGTCATTGTGTCTCCAAATCCTAGAATAATTATCAAGCAAAGACATTGATTAACAGTCAGTGAACAAGTCATTGAAGCAGAATTTCTTTATACAACTTTTGTGAGAGAAAGGAGCTAGAACCAGAGCTGGGTAGCTTTACTCAGGTCTCATAGCCTACAAGTTATATTGCTCCAAGCGCGCTCATCTTCTGAGCGACACTGGTGGTGTGAGCATTTGGGACTAACGTTCACCTTCCCGTTCCCTACAGAGAAATTCCACACGTCCTGCCCCCACGTCTTTGCCAAATGCATCTTTCAGCTGGAGTGATCTCTCCTCGATTCAGAGTATAACTCGATTGCCCATTATCCTCAAGGGGATTTTGACGAAGGAGGATGCAGAGTTAGCAGTGAAGCAGAACGTCCAAGGCATCATTGTCTCCAACCACGGTGGGAGGCAGCTCGACGAGGTTCCTGCTTCAGTAAGTAGGGTGATTTCCGAGGGGTGTGTCTGAATGCTCTACGCATGACTACACCAAAGCCCCCTACTAAATCTGCTGCAGATTGTCCTCCTTTATCAGGGCTAATGCCTATAGATTTGAAGGATGGTTAATAACTAATAACAGCCTATGTACACAGGACTACTTTTGTAAATTGTATGTGTCACATACCTAAATTCTGTGGCACTGCTACAGAATAGACATATCCTAATTTTACAGTTAGGATGCTGGAGTTTACAGACATCAGCTAACTTGTAAAGTTCACAGTAGCAAACGAGATGTTCAAAAGGCATTGAGGCCCCTGTCTTCGGCCAGCAGCGATCCGATTAAAGCTGATGTGTCTTCATGGATGTTTAGAAACCTCAAGATTTCCTATCTGACACAACGTAGGAAGGAGCAGCACCTCACGTGGACACAAAAGTGTTTTTCAACATGGATCTGAAATGCACTGATTCACTAGTGCACAGCACACTGACGAATCCTTTATGCAAATCTCTAACAGCTTACACGAGCTCGCAAGTGTGTGTCTGTTCTGCCTGGTGCTCGAGAGTACGGAAACGAGGAAAGGGAAGTAGGGAAGGAGTCTTTAAATGGAAATCAGCTGTTAATTTGTCTTGGAAGATCTATTTATGTTCTTCCCCAGAGGCACTTCTCATTCGACAGAAGTAAAACTTTGTCCAATTCCTTTTACCTCTTATAAAAACATCCATGAACAAAAAGTAATAACTTTTTTTTAAAAAAACACCCCTATCAAGATATCTTTCATTGCTCTCCCACTCCATCCCTCCCCCAACCAACCATCCCATTCCCACACCCTCTTATCTCCCGTCCTCTCCCCTTAACCCCCACCCCAGTCCCCGGTGTACCCAGGAGATCTCATCTCTTTCCCGGTCCCAGGACGATCAGTGTGTCCCTCTTAGGGTCCTCCTTGTTTCCTAGCTTCTCTGGAGCTGTGGATTGTGGTCTGCTTATCCTTTGCTTTACATCTTGTATCCACTTAGGAGTGAGTACAGACCGTGTTTGTTTTTCTGGGCCTGGGTTACCTCATTCAGGGTGATTTTTTTTTTCTAGTTCTATCCATTTGCCTGAAAATTTCATAATGCCATTGTTTTTAACAGCTGAGTAATACTCCTTTGTGTAAATGTACCACATTTTCTTTATCCATTCTCTGGTTGAGGGGCATCTAGGTTGTTTTCAGGTTCTGGTTATTACGAATAATGCTGCTATGAACATAGTTGAGCAAGTGTCCTTGTGGTGTGATTGAGCATCCTTTGGCTATGGATCCCATATCCATATGCCCAAGTACAGATTTCTTGGGTCTTGAGGTAGATTGATTCCCAGTTTTCTGAGAAACCGCCATACTGATTTCCAAAGTGGCTGTACAAGTTTGGACTCAAACCAGCAGAGGAGGAGTGTTTCCCTGACTCCACATCCTCTCCAGCATAGACTGTCATCATTTTGATCTTAGCATTTCTGACAGGTGTAAGATGGTATCTCAGAGGCATTTTGATTTGCATTTCCCTGGTAAGGATGCTGAACCGTTTCTTAAATGTCTTTCAGCCATTTGAGATCCTTCTATGTTGGGAGCCACCTTTTGGGGGTGACTCCTGCCGTGATCCTAGATGCAGCTGGTTGGTGCATTCCGGGGTAGGAGCTTGAGGATTAGAAATGTTAGGTAAGAGGAACGGAGATCAGAAAGAAACACAAAGGCCAGCATCAGGAGGGACACTCGGTGAGCACTGAACTCGGGAAATACCCGCCTCAATTATCCCACATGCTTGGAGTCTTCACTCCAAAACAGGAGCAGGGAGGCAACAGGCTTCATGACCATGAAACAGGGAATAGTCTTGAATTCGCCAACCTTTGGTCCAGGTGGAGCAGATATACTTCAACACTCAAAATCCTAATTAGCCACACCCTAGGCCAGAATCACTCGTTTGTAGCCACACCTGTTGGTAATAACGTTGAGAGAGCAAAAATCAGCTCAAACTCTTTTCCTTTCAGACAAGGTGGAATAGGCTCACATTTTTGGGTCTCCGCACTTCCGTTGAGATTTCTCTGTTTAGATCTGCACTCTGTTTTCAAATAGGATTATTTGGTATTTTGATGTCTAGTTTCTTGAGTTCTTTATGTATTTTGGCGATCAACCTTCTGACAGGTTGAGGAGTGGATGGGGGTGGGCTGGGGGAGGTGAGAGAGACGGAGGAATTGTGGTTGGTATATAAAATGAATAAAAAATTAAGAAAAATAAATAGGAGATGTCTGACCATTGATGCAGTGTGAGAAAGGATAGACTGGAATTTGAGTTTCTTAAATTGGTACTATTCTGGTCTTTTCTCTGGAAAAGCAGAATTGAATCAAAGTTAAAATGGCTCTAAAGTTATACGCAGAAAATAAATAAAACTAAGGAAATGTTAGTTATAACTGTTGTAGATCTACATGAGTGTAAGGAATAGAATTTGAAAAAAGGGAATTTATAGTAATTTCATCAAGTGACTTTCATTTTCTTCTCTTCATAGACTTTGTTTCCATTAAAATAAAAATATAAACACACAAAAGTCCATCCCTAATTTCATCACAATCATTGGTGTTAATTTTCTGGTCCTTACTTATAAAAAAAAAACCTTTTGTTTTAAAGCATATATACATATTAATATGCTTCATAATTTCCTTCTATTCAGTTGCCCAATGTATTAGGCATGTACTTTTATTCATAAGCCTCTCTTCTTTTCAATATTGTGTTATGAATCGACAATTTATACAATCAACCCCTCATAGTTGAACATCTGCATTGATTCCAATATTTCCTACTTCGTTTCTCTTGGTTTGGTTTGGTTTGGTTTGTTGTTTGATTGAGATAAGGTTGCACCATGTAGCCCATATTGGCTTTGGAGTCTCTGTCTTCCCACCTCTGTTTCCTGAGTGTGGGAATTACAGGCATGCACCACTATATCTGACTTCATTTTTTAAAATCTTCTAAACAGCGCATCAGTGACCATCCTGAAAGTTAAAACCTTACGTGTGTCCTTGATTAATTGTTTAGAAGATAGATTCCAAGAAAGGAGGATCCCAAAGCTGCTCTAGCTAGGCTCTGAGGCTTGTGGAGCCCAGTGACTTTAGCTGCCCATCACTCCTTCCCTAGCAGGCCCTGCCTATTGAGAACAGTGGGGTGCCAGGCCTATGTGGAGAAAGGCTCACTCTACTGGGCCTCTCAGTGAAGCTGGATTGAGAAGTGTAGCTTTGCCTTTCAAGGCAGGAGAAGATCAAGGGAGCAGTGGACTGGAAATGGGCCCTTCATTTCCAGGATCTGGCTTACAAATCTGGCCCACTGGGTGAGAGAATAGAGCTTTATTGTTAATAATGGGTGGGTTTGGTATCTGCTTTTTCTTTGCCATTTCTCCTCATATATCGACTTTCAATGAGCAAAGCGTTTGACGCAACTAACCAAGCCAAAACCTCAGTGGAGATTTACTTGAGACAACACTCCTTTCTCTGAGCAGTGACTCAAGCAAGAGCGTTGAGCCAAGGAGATCAGGTTAAGGACCAGAATGTAGCTTTGGATTTCAACCTTATCAACACTTCTGTCTCATCAGTGAGTCTGAGCAAGGCCCCTCACAATTGCATCTGTAAAAAAAAGGTACTTCAAAGAGATGAGTAAGCCTGTTCTGTGAGTCTCCATAGAACACACTGTCCTTGTCCTAAACAGGGAACTCTCAATAGACAAATCTCAGATGGCCGAAAGACACGTAAGGGAATGCTCAACATCCTTAGCCATCAGAGAAATGCAAATCAAAACAACTCTGAGATTCCATCTTACATCTGTCAGAATGGCCAAGATCAAAAGCACTGATGACAGCTTATGCTGGAGAGGATGTGGGGTAAAGGGAACACTCCTCCATTGCTGGTGAGAGTGCATACTGGTACAGCTGTTTTGGAAATCGGTATGGCAATTTCACAGAAAATTAGGAAATAATCTACCTCAAAACCCAGCAATACCACTGTTGGATATATACCCAAAATATGTTCAAACATACCACAAGGACATGTGCTCAACTAAGTTCATAACAGCATTATTTGTAATATCCAGAACCTGGAAACAACCTAGATGCCCCTCAACCAAAGAATGAATAAAGAAAACGTGATACATTTACACAATGGAGTACTATATAGTGGTAAAAAATAATGACATCCTGAAATTTGCAGGTAAATGGATAGATCTAGAAAAAACCATATTGAGTGAAGTAACCCAGACACAGAAAGACAAATGTAATATCTATTCACTAATAAGTGGCTTTTAGACATAAAGCAAAGAAAAATCAGCCTACAATTTACAATCCCAGAGAACCTAGACAACAAAGAGGACACTAAGAGAGAAAACATGAATCTACATAGGAAGGAGAAAAAGATAGGATCTCCTGAGTAAATTGGGAGCCTGGCAGTCACGGAAGAGAGTAGAGGGGGAGAGGAGAGGAAGGGAGGGGAGTGGATAAAAATGTATAGCTCAATAAAAACAATAAAAAAAGAAATGTAAGCCATATAAACCCTTTCCTCCACCCCACCCCCCAAAAAAATAAAAAAGAAAACACTGTCTTTGTGCTTCCTCTTGGAATCAAGAGACAGCATTTTCAGAGGAATTCAGTAAATGGCCAGTTCTGACTTATTAAAAAAGGGCTATTCTACACCCTAAGCTTAAATCATTTTCTACTGTTATTATTTCATGTATTTGCTTTTTAATTTAGTTTTTACATTTATTTATTTATTTAGTGTGTATTTGCTCACCTGTGTATGTGTGTGTGTGTGTGTGTGTATGCTCACCTGTGTCTGTGTGTGCCTGCTCACCTTTGTGTATGTGCATGTGTGTGTGAATGCTCACCTGTGTGTATGTGTGTTTATGTGTGTATGCTCACCTGTGTCTGCGTGTATTGTGCAAGCTCACCTGTGCGTATATGTGTATGTGCGTGTGTGCTCAACTGTGTGTATATGTGTGCACGCTCACCTGTGTGTATGTGTGTGTGCATGCTCACCTGTGTGTTTGTATGTGTGCATGCTTACCTGTGTATGTGTGCATGCTTGCTTGTGTGTATTATGTATGTGTGTGCATGCTCACCTGTGTCTGTATGTGTGCATGCTCACCTGTGTGTATATGTGTATGTATGTGCATGATCACCTGTTTGTATATGTGTATGTGTGTGCATGCTCACCTGTGTATATGTGTATGTGTGTGCATGCTCACCTGTATCT